ATGGTATGTAGTTGGTAAAGAAAGTTTCTCGAAATAGATTGAAAATTGATCTCATTTTGTAGAGCACAACGAGCTCGTTCCATCTGTGCAAAAAAAAAAAATTGAATCCTAGTTAGAACGAAGAAGATAAGAGCCGATTATGAAAACTAGGGAAAATAAAATGTCTTTAATTGACAACCCTTAGATCTGGATTTTCTGGGCTCATTTAAATCTAAATGTCCAGATTAGATCTGGTTACTGTTCCCTATCCTAAGCCCCTTAGATTAGGTTCGGATGTATAAGCCTAAAATAATGTTATAATCAAAATCAAGTCATTAAATATTTTAATGTTTCAAATTTAAATGTTTATTAATTCTTTCATTTCATCAATCAAGTAGTATTTTCTTCGTTTCAAGTTGGATTTAGAAAAGTTACACTAAAATCAATTAAGAGTAATCAACAAAGTGAAATCCATTGCGATATATTTTGACTAGTTTTTCAAACCATATAAATAAACAAACATGGTATATTTTTTATACCAACATGGTATAAGACACATCTAAAAAAATATGTTCTAAATTTTTTTATGGTGAATGTCTTTCTTGTGTAGTAATCATCCATATTTTTGTGAAAAATGTGAAATTTCGAGTTAAAATGAAGGAGATATAGTCTGTAACAATTAATGGTGAAGAGGGTGGTAGTTACTCATTGTGCAGAAACTTGGGATTATGCACCTTAAGCTATAATCTTAACAACAATTGCATTCTGTCTTCCAAAAAAATTAGGCAAAATACACCAGTGAAGCCAAAATTTTGACGGTTTGGCCAAATATAGCCACTTTTAGAGAAATACAAAAAATAGTCACTTCCATCCAATTCTTTGACGGTGTTAAGTAACGGGCTGAGCTAGACTAACGGAACGCTGAGCTGGACACTCTCTATTTGGTAACAAATCCACGTGGATGAACTAAAAAAATTAAAAATTAGAAAAAGGGTCTTTTGAGTCTTTATTCTGTCTTCCCTTCTCGTTCCTGGAGAAAAATCAAATCCCCTCTTTTGTTAGGCTCTCTTCCAGTCTCTCCCCCCCCCCCCTCCCCCCAAAATCTAGATCCAAAAATTCTAGAAATTGGATTTGAGGGCGGAGCTGAGGCAATGGTCTCGAAAGTTCGAGATTAGGGATCTGGAAATTGATTGACCTCTCCTCCCCGCAACAGAACATCAAACTCCCGCTCTTCGTCTTCCTGGATCCCTTGCGCCCTCCTCACTCTCTTTTCCAGATCGCTCTCCATCTGGTCTATCTGCAACACGGCGTCGTCGAGCAGAACGAGTGACTTCTCCAAGGACGACAGCTTGTCCCCGCTCCTCCGCCTCCTCTTAATCGCCACCGCGAAAGAGAGTAGCAGCAGCGATAACGCGATAAGCGTGAATACCGCGATGGAGAATCCGATAATCACTGATTTTTTTCTTGCGGTGGTATGGATCTCGGCTCAAATGCGTTTAATTGACACCATAGAGCTCGACGGATGTAGCACCGCCGGGTATGACGGTGAGGGAGAGTCGAAGAGGAGAGATCCAGGACGACACTCCTTGTTCGGGATCTTGTCGATCTCTTTCGTTGCTGTCTGTAGCCGTCGTACCTGGAGCTAGTGATGAGGATGAGGAAGATGTGAGTGGAGAGGGCCATGCCAGGGCAACGGAGAAGATTGGATCGAAGAAGATGAGGAAGAGACGGAATACTTTAATTATTTTATTTCTTTATGATGAGAGAGGAGATTAAGAGTGACGAGACATAGAATCAAGCCAGAAAAATAAAACTTAATTTTTTAATCTTTTAATTTTTTTTATTTCTTTAATTTTATATTAAATAACACGTCGCATCTATGTGTCACCAATAGCTAAGTTGTCGCTGATGTGTGCGATGATTTGACATCCTAGTCAGCCTAACGTTAGTCTATTTGACGGATTTTCTAACACCGTTAAAGTTTGTAACGGAAATGACTATATTTGTCATCAAACTTTCAAAATTCTGGCTCTATTTCGCCAAAAGTGGCTATTATTGTCACAAACATGAAAGTTTTGGCTACATAGATGAATTTTTCCAAAAAATTAAAGAAAAAGGTCGAGGGAAAACTTAGGACACCTAATTCGCGGCACAAGGGCTGCCGCTCCCGCTCTAGCTCGTGTAAACACGAATTTTCAGTAATCCGGCAATAATTCGCGAACTAAAATATTTTGGAGCGCGAATTATATTTTTTGGAGCACGGTCTTCCCATGGAAGATCCTGGACGGTATCGACAGCCACATAGAACTCACAATCGACGTTCTCGGCCTCCGTCAACTGTTCCTAGAGCTCCGCCGTCCCCACCTCTGAGTTTGACCAACTAATTCCCAGAGCTACCTTACCCCGGCAAAGTCGACGACATCCTCGCTCCCTTTGTTAGATATAGATTAGGAATAATCTTATTTCCTTGTCCTTCTAGTATAGTTCTTAGTATTTCCTTGTCCTTCTAATATTGTGGTTCTCTTACTATTGTCCAAGTCTTGTAATCTATATAAACCCCTTTGTGGTTTCATAATAATACAAGTTACTCTTCCTAAAACTCCTATTTGGTATCAGAGCTTGGTTACGATTCAGGGACCTGTGGGTTCACGTTGTGGGGGCGTGTTCTTCAAGTTTGACGTATTTTGGTCAAGATTGATGTTGTTCTTCACACCATCATCTTGCAGGGGCGTCTTAGAGATAAATTAGGAATAATCTTATATTTTATTGTCCTTCTAGTATAGTTATTAGTATTTCCGTGTCCTTCTAGTATTTTGGTTCTCTTACTTATTATCCAAGTTTTGTAATCTATACAAACCCCTTTGTGGTTTCATAACACTACAAGAAAACCCACATATAGCGGCTATTTGTTGAGGCAAATATTGTATTTGCCGCTAAAAGGATATTATAAGCAACACATATATAATTGGCCTCAATAGGCATCATTATATGCTTCTAAAAATATTAGATATGCAACACATATATAATTTGCCTCAATAGACACAATTATGTGCCTCTAAAAGTATTAGATATACTACACATACATTATTTGCCTCAATATGCATAATTATGTGCCTCTAAAAATATTAGATATACTACTCATACATAATTTGCCTCTATAGCACATAAGCTTTGCAACTCCAAAAGTTTTATAACGACTAATAATTCTTTTGGCTCAATAGATGTTTAATATTTGTCGCTATAATTATTTAGCTTTTAAATATCCATATTTAGTTTAAAATATAAAAAATTACTTGAGTTAGGTTCATTTATATCAATATATGCCTCTCCAAAGTATTTTTTATATAAACAAATGCCTCTAAAAAATATTACATGGCTTGCAAACGTCAATAATGCCTCTTCATATCCCCCTTGACCCACTCACTCTAAAACAGAGCGCCTCCCAACAAGAAATCCGGATCCCTTCTTCTTCTTCAGCCAGACCTCCAGTCCCAAATTGAAAGCCTCCCCGCTACACCCACCCCTCCGGCCTCGCACACCCCTGCATCTCCATCAACCTTTTCTGTCGGAACATAGAGAAGCGACGACCAGAGAAGCCGCATCGGAGCAAAGAGAAGCAGAGACCCCCTTCCTGCCCATATTTCACTCGACGGGACTCTCCGATCTTATCAGGTTTGAATCAATGCCCTCAAGGTCCACATCTGCAGTTTATTCTCTCTCTTCATGGACTTTTATGTTTTTGTTCTATCTTCCCTCAATTTGAGTTGTTGGGGTGCCGACAGTCCGAGATGGTGCAAGATCTGCAATAGGCCGACCTGGCACGTCTCTCTGAGACGGTGGTGAAGAGAAATCGAGATGGGACGGGAGACTACCTGGGGGCGGCAGCGACAACGACATATGACGCGAGTAGTAGGAGAGAATGGTGGTAGGGGAGAAGAAAGGCTCGCAATAGAGAGGTCTCCAAAGCAAACCAGAGAAAGCAGAGCAGAGGATTGCTAGTCAGGACCCCTGCTGCCCAGATCTAGAGAGAAGCCGCTAAGATTTGTGAGGGCGAGCTTCGAACCGACGACGAACAAGGAAAAAACCTAGATCCATGAAGATTCATTTCGGTCGAGACTTGCCTATAGTGTTGTGGTGTTTTCCAAGTTTGAGAAACGTCGTACTAGAGAGGACAAGAACATTGACAACACATGTATTAGCCTCAATATTGTTGTTGTGTCTTCGATTATCACATGTCAAGTTGCAGTTTGTATGTTAACCTAGAAAGTAATGTGTGTAATGACTTGTTTGCTTTATAATTAAAATTATGATTTACTTATAAATTATCACATTTTGTTTTACATCTAAAAGGGCATCCAATACCTTGAATCTAAAAACAATTTTACAGGCACAAACTTAGGCCTCAACCAGATTAGTTAAAGGCACATGTATTAGCCTCAATAGGTTAATTTTACAAGCAATTGTATCTGTCTCTAAAGATAATATTAGAGGCAAATATTTATGCCTCTAATATAGAATACAAAGGCAAAATAAAAGTGACATTAGCAGTTAGAGTATCAGCCGCAAAATATCTAATCAGCAGCAGATAATATATGCCGCTATATTTGCCTCTGCAGGGCTATAGCCACTGGAGTATTTGAGGTAGGGGTGGGCATCCGGTTCGGTTTTACCGAACCGAACCGAAGTCAAACCGACCGAAACCGAAATTCTCACTGTTCGGATCGGAAATCGGAAAGGAAATACTCTTAATTCGGAATACAGAGTATGCCAACCGAACCCGAAATTCCGAGTTCCGAACCGATAAACCGAAATTGCATACCCAACTACCACATCCTGCCAGGCCCAACAAATTAAAGAAGCCCAGCTGAGGGCCAAGCCCAGCAACCGAGATAAAAAAAACCTAATCCTAATTCCATCTATGATCTATCTCTCCCTTTGTCTCTCCCTCTCGTCCGCCGCTCACCACAATCACCACTCACCACCACCGACCGTCTCTCACTCTCTCTCGATCACTCGAAACCTCAAACGGTGTACCCACTACCCAGCTCCTTCTTCATCGTGAAAAACGAACTCTGGTGTGGCATCTCGGCGGCGGCGCAATCGACAAGGAGAGGTGGTGCCGCGACGGGATCGGCAACAGAGACGACAGAATTAGCGGTGGTGGAGCCCCTGCATGCTCTCCCATGACTCTGTCTTCTCTTTGCCACTGCTTCCTCTTCATAAAAATGGGCGAGCGGCGAACTTAGTGCTCCTGATCTGGGGAGAAGGCGAGCCCGGTGACGGAGGGAGCTCATTGCGATCTGCGCGGCGGAGTGCTCTAGGCGGCGGAGTGCTTGGTAAGGGTGGATTGATGGCCTGTTGTTTTAGCAGAGAGAGAGATGGATGGATTGAAGAGGGTGATATGGGAGAGCATGCAGGGGTGAGGGATTAATTGATGGAGGAGAGAGTAGAAAGAGATTGGGGTGAGGGATTAAAGTGGGGCTCGTTTGAGATAAGGCAGCAGGTGATCATTTCGGTTTTGGGCAGTCAAACCGAACCGAACCGAGATATACTTCGGTTCGGTTGAACCGAACCGAATTATAGCTCGGTTCGGTTGAACCGAACCGAATTATAGCTCGGTTCGGTTGAACCGAACCGAATTATAGCTCGGTTCGAATTCGGTTGGGGTGCTGGGTACTTCGGAAATTCGGCATGTCCTGGTTCGGTTCGGTTCAAACCGAACCGACCGAACGCCCACCCCTAATTTGAGGCAAATGTTTTATTTGCCTCTAAATATATACATAGGCAAATAACAGATATATAGCGGCAAATTTCCTTAGTCGCTATATGTGGATTTTCTTGTAGTGTAATAATACAAGTTACTCCTCCTAAAACTCCTATAACGGTGGTGTGTTAGAGATAGATTAGGAATAATCTGATATTTCTTTGTCTTTCTAGTATTGTGGTTCTCTTACTTATTGTCCAAGTCTTGTAATCTATATAAACTCCTTTGTGGTTTCATAATAATACAAGTTACTCTTCCTAAAACTCCTATATCCTCCACCATGGGTTGTCATGTACTATTTTTTATTATTTATATTGTAAATATAAAAATAATATAATAATGATGCTCTCTTCACGCTTTTTAATATCAAATTCTTATAATATAGGCACTCTCGTTCCCACTCCACGAACTGGTTAGCTAAGGGCAAACCTTGAAAAGGGACAAGACCAACATCAAGATAAGAAATGCAGAGATGTAGTTGGGATTGATCATACTTTACTTCCAGATTAATAGGAAGGAAGCTTAATCGGAATGAATCAGAAATTTTCTTCTATGATCGATCGGTATAAACATCAACAACTCCGAATTGGATTGGTTTCGCCTCAACAAATAAGCGCTTGGGCCAAAAAATTCCTACCGAATGGAGAGATTGTTGGCGAGGTGACATAGCCTGAATCTCGAGACGCTCTTCGAACCAATCATAGACTTTATTGAGATAGGTAAACCAGAGGGATTTCCGCGCTAAAACAGGCTAAAACAGGTGACTCGTTAACCCTTGACCCACTAGCTCGACCGGGTCCGGGTCAACCCGCGGGTTGACAACCTTGGGGTCAATAAACCTGGCGACACAACAAGGTTGGACCATGGAAAAGGTTAATGAAAGTAATGAGTTAGATTGAAAAAAAAGTTAAAGGTGGTTGTTATAAACGCGCTGCTACGGATCGGGAAATTGCCGGAATCGACAAAGCAAGAATACGAAAGCGAGAATCGAAAACACGACACACGATTTACGTGGTTCATTAACACGATGTGTGTTAGCTACGTCCACGGGCGAGAGAGAGCCAATTTTACTATATCGAGGAGATTACAGATTACAGAGGAGTATGAGAAGTATTTATAGTACTTCTCCATGTGGGTCTAAACCTAATCCAATTTGGCAAAGGAAACGGTTACAGACCAGGCCCAGAACCCGATTACCAGTCGTAGCGGTTGATAGTCCGATTCAAGTCACATCAACAGTGGTAATAAAAAGGACGAATACAATTACTTTTGCAATCGACATGGATGCTCCAATATGCTTATTGAATTGAATGAGTGAGTGCACCGAATACAAATATCATCATTTTCGTTACAAAAATTAAGCAGGAGGGAGAATTTACAGATCTATTCTAGTCATAATCGTAGCAAAATTCCCAAAAATTTAAAGAGAGAAAACAAACAACGGGTTAATTGCATAGTTGGTCACTGAGATTACAAAAAACGTTCATGTTTGGTCACTCAAAATATTTAAATCCATTCGTGGTCACTAAAATTAGTAAAAGTGTAAAACCGTCCAAGTTTGGTCACTCTCCGTTAGTCTCCATCCATCTCCGTTAACCAAGACCGTTATGTGCTGACGTGACTAACGGAATCGCTTATTCGGTCTAATTTAACCCAAAAATAGTGAAATCCGACCATCCATGTCACTATAACCCGCCATGTCATCTTATCTAACCCAACCCGACCAACCCTTGAATCAAACCGACCTACCTAACCATGTCTAGATCTAGCAAATCCCCTGCTGCCCACCAGTACCAGATTTTCAATAATCCAATCCCATGAGGAGGTTAGGGATTAAGGAGATCCCATCCACAAAGAGGAGAAAAAGAGGCAGGTGCGAGGCGGCCCGCGATCTGGCTCCGCGTTGGAGTTCTTCGTCTAGACTTCTGCCGCCGTGAATGAATCCCAGAATGACGGAGGAGGGAGTGAGATCGTGGATACGGATTCAAGAAAAAGGAGCAGAGTACCAAGCTTTGGTCGTGCGTGGTGGCGACGACAAAAATTTTGATGTACACCAAGCTAGTAAAGGGGAGGCCAACACATGTACCACATATGGGTGGGGAAGAAAGAGGATTAGATGGAGAGATGGGGAAGCAGATCGAGTAGCAGGGGGTCGAGAGATGAAGGAAGGGGAAGCTTTAGCAGGGGTCGATAACTATATCTTTGGTTTGGTCAACTAAAGGAGGGTTTCCCTCCCCTCCCTAGTATTTACTCAACATCCTTCCCTTGACTTCTCCACCCCCAGAAATTAATTCCTCTCTACTTTGTTAACCAACTCCAACCGGAAACTGAAGAAGAAAATAGTTCATGGTTAATAGTCAATCGTTATAGATTGGTGTTGGCGAATCATTTATGAAACAACTCATATAATAGATTGACTGGAGTTGGATGAAGGAAGCCAGGAAGAGGAAGCTTTAGCAGGGGGGGTCGAGAGATGAAGGAAGGGGAAGCTTAGAAGGTTTTGATTTTTCTTTCTGTTTCGGTTTCTAAGGAGAATGAAAGCGATGAGTTAGGCAGCTGTGGTTAGGGAATGGAATTATGGAGAGATGGGAAAGAAAGAGGAGAAGATCCAGAAGAAGCTCTGGACCAAAGAGGGGATTTTTTTGCTCTCCATCAAAGAGGGGTTGAGAGAAGAAGACTGAGAGATGGAAATTCGTTTTGTTTTTTTTTTTAATGATTAATAATAATTTGACATGGAGGTTTAATGACATGGCGGGTTGGATTTTATGACGTGGTGGATTAAAATGGGGCGAATCAGCATTTTTGTTTGCCACATCAGCAAATAACTGACGGCATTAACGGAGACGGACGGAGACTAACGAAGAGTGACCAAACTTGGACGATTTTACTAATTTAAGTGACCATGAATGGAATTAAATATTTCGAGTGACCAAACATAAACGTTTTTAGTATTCTCAGTGACCAACCTTGCAATTACCCAACAAACAACCTTATATTCAGTCATATTAATGATTGGCCGCTTCACTCCAACAAGTCAGCAAGTCCTAGCCGAGCCAGCTGCTCGTTTAGAAAGTGGACCCATAAGTGCTCGTCCATAAGCTAAAGGCAATGACGCAAACTTTTTTGCTTTCCCTACATAAGCGCGCTTCGTGAAGTTGTTATAATCATTCGCTTCAATGGCGTCTACTATCTGATTATACAGAATTAGAGATGCCCACACCGGCCATCTGCTCTCCCCGTTTAGCTCCCCAACACCTTTCTCTGCCTGATCGAAGAACATCCTTGCCCGCTTGATCTGCCCTTTCATGAAACTCCTCCATTTCTCCGTCACCTTCCCCTTGAATATATCTTCGTCGGAGAGCCCAGCTTGCCTCAGCTCGTCCTGTGGCAGATAAATCCTTCCTCTCCTCACACTGCCAAACAATATCAAAGGAATATTAGAGCAAACAGATAGCGATCAGCTTCAGGAAGCCTTGGAGGGTTAATGAAAACAAAGGAGAGCTTACTCTTCTCCAACATCTCTTAGTATGTTAGTTAGCTGGTTGGCGATCCCCAAGGCCAATGCAGCATTGTAAACGCTCTCGGTGGAAGCCTTTGATTCCGTGGAGATCCCCATTACCGGAACACTCATCAGGCTGACTGTCCCTGCAACATAGTAACTGTAGAGGTAGAGCTCATCGAAATTCTGGTATCGTGACCTCTTCAAGTCCATCCGCATTCCTTCAATCATGTCCTTGAAAGGCTGCACCAGGAAAAGAGGGCAAGGATCATTCAGTTCCATAAGATGAAAGATCCTAAGCCAACAGAAGCAAAGGAGTGCATGATCCAGTAAATATTAATCTATATACCTGGATATCAACAGGGTATTTAGTGACCGTATCGGATAGAGCAGCATCAAACATGTCATATGGGCGGCCTTCAAAGAGATCGTTCAGTCTTCTCTCCCATCCATCAAGAGCTTCCGGTGTGATGTGAGTTGCAACTGGCCCATCCACCAGCTCATCAGTCCTTCTGCACCAAACTTACCAAAGAAATCCACCAAAAAAACAGCACGTTCAATTGTTTGTGCTGGAAACCGTAGAATAATCCAGTATTCGGCCGCCATAACCAATCCAAGTATGGCTCGGACACGGTTGGCAGATTGAGACAAGTAGAAGCGGGAAATAAACTGGGTTTCAATTAGGGGTGGGCATCCGGTTCGGTAAACCCGAACCGAACCGGACCGAACCGAATTTGAACCGAATCGAAACCGAACTTGTGTTGTTCGGTTCGGAATTCGGAAGAGAAATGACCCTAATTCGGAAACCAGGGTTCTTCCAACCGAACCGATGTTCCGAATTTCGAACCGAAAAACCGAAAAGTATGAATTGGGCTCAATCTCAACTCACCCCAGCCCAAATAAAATCCAAACACTCAACTCACCCCCCAGCCCAAATAACCAAACACTCAACTCACCCAAACCCTAAACCTAATGAATTGAACGAGAGAGGCAGCAGCTGCAGCTCTCTTCTCATCTCTCACAAGCAGCGCAGCGGGCAGGGGCAACCACCACACACCAGCTAAAGCATCATCCTTGCAATTCGAACGATCGACAGCATCAACCTTTCACCGCCGTCCTTCGCCGCCGTCCGCCGGGATTGACCTTTCTTCGCCGCTTTCTCTTCCCCGCTGCAGCACCCTCTTCTCCACCTGAAGTCCTGAATTGAAAATAGAAACAGAGACTAAAACGATGCTATTGAAGATTTGAAGCTCGAGCCTCGAAAGAGATAAAGTGTGCCAAAAAATGACATGCATGCTTAGATCTAAAGCCATACGAACCTTCATCGTCGTCCGCCGAAGTTGTCACCATCGCTGTCTTCAATCGCCGTTGCCGACTGCCGTGGTCCGCCGATTGACTTTCTTCCTTTTTGAACTCTTAATGATCTACGCCGCTTCGAGATCGGAGAAGGAGGAGAGATCTCTACCGTCCGTCGTCGTGCAGCTCTGGTGTGCTCTGCTTCGATCTCTACCTTTTGCTCGTCGTCGCTACATCGTTTGTTGGTTGGAGAGAGAGAGAGAGAGAGAGAGCATCTGAGGAGTCAAGGGGAGAAATAAGAAGATAGGCCGAGAGAGTTGTCTTTTTTTCCGAACATGTGTCCACAAAACGCAGGAGTCAAGTGGCCAAAACGCAAAAGCTTCAATTTTCGGGTTTGGAGGAAAAACCGAACCGAACCGAACCGAGTTATAATTCGGTTTGGACAAACCGAACCGAATTACAACTCGGTTCGAATTCGGTTGGGGTGTTGGGAAAATCGGAAATTCGGCATGTTCCGATTCGGTTCGGTTTGAACCGAACCGACCGAACGCCCACCCCTAGTTTCAATGCAACAGTTGAAATGGACAAGGACAAACAATAACAGCGAGGACTGAGAATGACATATGGAGATGACTATTGAGCTCCCAGCTGATGTTGACAACAAGGAGGGGAGACAAAGCTCACATACCATAAATTGCCCACACAGCTCTTCGCCGTTCTGGTGTCATCAACAAGGTTCCTGCAATGATAAATTAAAGTTGAGAACAAACTTTGATGGTTAGAACATATAGTTTCCGGTTGCAGAACTTTCAACTAAAGGCAAAGGAGGCTGGAACTTGAAGAAGAGCTGGTTTGAAGTTGAAACTTCATAATTAGTATGTCAGTGGGCCATGAATGGAAATGGAGCTGACCTGAACCCTTAATGTTCTTCTTCCCTAATCCCAAGCAGATTGGTTCTCTCTAGCACACAAAGGGAATCTCTGAAGGAAGACTATTGTTGTTATGCAAACGACCAAATGGGTTGTCACAATTTAAAAAAAAAAAAAAAACTTAGCACAAAAAATTGTTTTGACCCATTCTAACAGAAGAAAGAAAAGGAAAAGTAAAAAACTGTTTGCAAGGTTCAAGTGTTCAACACAGATTCTACCATCATCTGAATCCCCTTCATAGACTGAACTGAAAACCGGGAGAAATATAAACTAATCACCACAGTTTCAAATAGCTAATTACAATAATAAACAAATCATCATACCTCGTAGGCTCCATTCCCTAGTCAAGTTACAGAAAGTAAAAATGAAAACCACAAGTAAAACGTTTTGGCGTACTCGGCGCAGACCTTGCCGCACCTATCGTAAGCGTCGTTCAGAAAATCCCAATTCGATAGCGTTCCCGCTACTGCCTCTTCCTCCGCCGACCGTCTCTGCAGCTCCTTCACCAGCGCCGCCTGCTTTAGCACCACCTCGTAGACCTTCTCTTCCGAAGATCTTGCCGGGCTCGCTGCAACGGCGGCGGTGCTCGAGTACACAGCAGACACCCCGCTATTCGAATTCATCGACGACGCAATTCTCGGCCTCTGGCTTCTAGCGCCTGCGCCGGGGCCTCTGGGCCTAGTTACCAACTGCGAAGCGACGCCGCCGCCAGCTACGGTTCTGGGTAGGGGTGGCTATACGGTCCGGTCCAGTTAAATTGGCCCAAATTGATCCGGTCCAGTCCGGTCTTTTTGAAAATATAAGGACCGAAGATTGGATTGGATACAGTACGGTCTTGATCCGGTCCGGTTTTGATCCGGTCCGATCCCAATTCGGTCTTGATTTTACATTGATATTGTGGGATTTGAGTGGCCTAAGGCCTTAAAGGGTGAGGGTTTTGTACTAAGTGCAAAGGTTTGTGACCGTTTATTCAAATTAGCCTTAAGTTTTGGGTGTTGAGCTCTCTTATCTGGTCTTTATCCGATTTTTTACCTCAAATCTAAGCCCAAAGATTGGATTGGATTGTTTACTATCCGGTCCCGGTCCGGTCTCGGTCTGGGTTATACGGTCCAGTTTCCGGTTTTTAATCCGGTCCCGGTCCAAATAGCCACCCCTAGTTCTGGGTATGAGACCGAGTAGAGCGGAGGAACTGACAGCATTCTCTTTCGGACAAACAACCCAAAGCAGAACGCTGGCCGCCATCTCGAAGGAAGGAAGAAAGCGAATGTGGTATGAGTAATCATATATCTTTTTGGATGAATCCTAATCGCCCGGCGAGTTTGGAGTTTGTTTTGTGTGGTTGAGGAGAAAGATGGTGAACAGTGCGAGAAGAAGAGAAAGAAAGTGAGTGGAAAGTGGAAACTGGAAAGTGCACTTTTGAGGGAAATTTTCCTCTTCTCTTCTCCTCTCTTTTCTCTGTTTGTTGTTTTCTTTTATATTCCAAAATCTTCTATCTTCAATCTGCACTCTGTCTGCACTCTGCACATTTGTGTTGTGCTTCCTGCTTTTGTTTGTTCTCCTTTTGGCTGTGGCTGTGGCTAATAAATGAGTGAATGGAGGTTGGTCCTCATAAAAAAGGAAAAGAATTGAGGGGAAAGATTATAAAGGAAAATGTGTGATGGAGATATGTATTCTTTCACGTGCTCGCTCATTAACTAATGTGTAGAGATCGAGTCATGTTCAACTCAATTCGTTAGTTGTTAGGCTTGGAAATTAGCTCGATTTGATGGCTCGTTGCGTTGGCTTGTTGAGTTTGGTTAGCAAGTTAGATCGATTAGAAACTCAAGAATCAACTCGATACTATTACAGGGATATTCGGAGCTATTAGTACTTTGGATCAAATAACTATAAAAACCAATTTAGGTTGTTCTTACTTGTAGTACCAACTACTCACTACTACAACTAAGCAAGCACAAGTAAATTGCATGGCTGGGTTTTATTAAAATAGTGAACAAGTTGCTAGGGTGTTGGATCCCCCCCTAGAGTTGTTCAAGCATAGTTATAAGTTATAAACCTTCCAATTAGTTATTGAAATTCTTTATCAAGCAACCATTCGACATAAATAAAGCTTTTGGAAGTACTTTGAATTACACTACTAAGTTGTCTTAGTCCAAAAAGAGGGTACAATTCACTTTCAGACAACATCCACCCTCTTTCCCTTTCATGGTTGTTCTAATCTAACAAAAGGAATTTCTTCCACTAAGCCAAGGACCCACAATTACTCAAAATTGATCAAATTTGAGAAATTAATAGCAATACCATGAATAGATAACCTCGTACAAACATCAATACATATAATCAGTTCATTCACCTAACCCATACATCTACGATTCATCTAACCGCAACAACAAGAGATTAGTTCATAGATAGAAGAAAAGTGACCAAACAACCAATAAAAGACATCTCCAAGGTTATATGCATTATCTTCTTCAAGATTTTTTCTATCTTGTTGCTTTTGGATGGATTTTGAGCTCCCAAAGTTTCCTTGGCTTTTTTACTTTCCTTCAACCTTCTCTCGTTGGAATCTCTTTTTTCTCTCTTTTCTAAAAACCTTAGGTATAATGATGTTGAATGTACAGGGCGGGTATCACTCACGGGTATCTGAAACCCATGAATACGGGAATGAATTTGCAGAACATTCCTCTCCATGGATATGGAACGGGTGCGAGTTTGGATATCTATAAACGGGGCATTTCCATCCCTATTTGCAGCCCTGCTGACAACACTCGGAATTAAGAGATCTATTCTAGTTATGCACTTGGTCCTGTGTCCTTGCCTCATTGGCGGGTTGTAATTGCCTTCCATACCCAATAACTATGTACTGCTGAATGAAATTGTCCGAACGCAGTCACTGAACTGACACACATGCAATGCAAGTCCAATACAGGTAATTAACAGTCCAACCATCACTGGCAGCAGTCCAATTAAATTCTTTCCTGTTCATGAGGTAGCAAGCACTTCAGACATCTAAGTGTTCAAAAGGCAAATCCAGCTTCACATGATGTTTGAATCGACAGCAGACAAACTCCAACCATATATAGCAGCCAAAGTTCAACGGGGGTGGACGAAAAGCAAAAAATGATACATTACCAAAGCTAATCTGCAGCTAAATGCCAACCAATGGTTGCCTATCCGCTACCCAACAGATCTTCACATGAGTTTTTGCTTCTCCAAATTTGCAGTAGCAACACGTTGACGCTTCTTCCATGCCGGAATCCTACCAGGGAACGCCCACCTCAACAATCTCTCCCAAGCGTAGCAGCTCAAGTACATAAGAAACGCCCAAAGCAGAAGTTTATTCCTCAACCCTAGCGGCAAAGGCACCAACTTCAACCAGTCATTCAGATCCCTGAAAAGATCCGAGGTTATGACGGTGAAGAAGCCAGCTGCACCCAACAGAGCATACATGAAAGGCTTGTTCTCGGAGATGCTCTGGTTGAAAGGATGGCCCATGTAGTTCACGGCAAAGGTTGCTAGCTGAATCATCATGCTCACTATGTATGAAACTGTGTTTACCAAATTTGGATGGAAATCAGAATCCGGTTCGATGCACTCCTCCGGCATATGCTTCTCGGCTTCTTTCACTGAAGAAATGAGGAAGAACAAGTGCATCGCAAACTGCCCCATTAGTGACAGAAAGACATAGAAGCAAAAAATGTTTGGGTGGGGCCGCTCAGCGGAAAGTGTGGGGAGAGGACGTGCATGCGAGATAAAGAGGAAGAATGAGGTAGTAAAGATGCCACTGATTGTAGCCTGGACGTCGCCAAGCTTCACACCATCCAAGTACATGACGCTCAACACATATTCTGTGGCAAGGCAGTTGAGACCAAGGATCTTAAACATCTGAAGGGTGGTCACCAGAGTGCTTCGACCTTGGCGTATGATGTCTATCGTCGGGGCAACAGACGCGTGCTTTGCGGTGAAAGGGGATGCCATCGAAGCGTCTCCAAGTTTGACAACTGGAGCCGATCGACCGCCACCCTCTTCATTCATCTCGTCCATCAGCTTCTTCAGTTTCTGCTGCTGCATTTCTGCAGACGTTAGATGACGGTTACCAACAGACCTACTGATGGGATCTGACTTAGTTCCGGCTCTCCCCCTTGAAGAAGACCCCGTTTCAGTCATTGTATTTGATTTTTTGGAAGGCTTGACAACAGGCTTCTCATTTCCATCTTTTCCTTCGTCTTTAACCTTTTTAGATGATTCCGACGATGGAGGCACTGCATTCAATAGGGCTACACCTACATGGGCCTGGATATAAAATGTTACAGCAAGGTTAATGTTTTTCTCTAGGATAATCAAATTTCTCCCTCGGACAAAGGCATGTCGCACTTGACAAGTGATTATATGAATGCATGCCGAGTGCATGATTGAAAGCAAAATCTGAACCTAACTTGTGATATGATTAAGTTGTTAATAAGTCAACTCTGCAGTAGTGGTAATAGAGTCATATTTGAAGCATCACACTGTTTAGTAGAGAGACTCAAAGACAATCAAATTATGTTTATTGGAAAACGTATAAACCATATGTATGTCATAGATTTCCAAAATCTTGATGCTTTCAATGAAACTTGTTTTGTGTCTCTTACCTGCTATCACGAAATGTTGTGGCACAAGAAGCTTGGTCACATAAACTTGCAAAAATTAGCTTGTCTCTCAAAGTCAGATGTTGTCTGGGGTATTCCTAGGCTAAAAGAAAGAAGTGATTTCTTTTGTAAAGCCTGTGCTGCTGGAAAGCACTCAAGGAAACCTTTTAAGTCCAAATCTGACATCACTTCAACCAAACTTTTTGATTTAGTTCACATGGACCTCTTTGACCCATGCAATGTGACTAGTCTTTTGGGGGGGGGGGGGGGGGGGGAAGAATTATGCTTTTGTTTTGGTAGACGAATTTTCATGTTTTACCTGGGTTAACTTTTTTACTTACAAGGATGAAATTGTGTCAAAATTCAGAACCTTTACTAAACTGTATAGTGATATCAAGGCAGTTAAAAGTGACAATGGAGGAGAGTTCATTTCAGATTAGTTTGCTTAATTCTGTGAGGAAAATGGTATTAACCATATGTTTTCGGCTCCTTGTACTCCTCAACAAAATGGAGTAGTTGAGAGGAGAAACTGAATCCTCATAGAAGCAGCCAGAACAATGCTCTTGGACTATGACCTTCCTAAGTTCTTTTGGGTTGAAGCTGTGAGCACAAAATGCTATGTGACAAACAGAGTTTTAATTCACAAACACTTGAATAAAACTCCCTATGAGGTTTTAACGGATAAAAAACCAAATATAGTTTACTTTCATCCATTTGGAAGTAGACGCTTCTCCCTAAACACTAAGGATAACCTTGGAAAGTTTGATTCTAAGTCAGACGAATCCATTTTTCTGGGCTATTCCTTAAAAGGGCAAGCATACATAATCTATAATAACGTACCAAAAAGGTAGAGGAGTCAGTACATGTCATTTGTTATGAAACTAATCCTCTTTCTGAAGCATCTAAGACAGGAACTGTCCTGGTAGATCTCTCGAATCTGCTTCATGACATAAACCATAACGTGACTGGAACAACTCTAAATTGTTCACAAATACCAACACTACGGCAGAACATGTTGCTCCCATAGCATCAGGGACTACAAATAATGATAGTGGGATTGACCTACCTCAAACACCTCCACATATTCAAAAGCGTCATCCTCAAACTCAAGTAATTGGAAGCATAAATGAGGGACGCAAAACTCGAAGTAAATATACCCCTGGTCAGTATGCTTTTGTGTCCAAAGTAGAACCCAAGAATATTAGAGAGGTTTTAAATGATGAAAAGTGGAATATTGCCATGCAAGAAGAACTCACTCGGTTTAGCTACTTGAATGTTTGGAAACTGGTCCATAGACCCATAGGAAAGACGATCATAGGAACTAAGTGTGTCTGTAGAAATAAAACTGATGAGGAAGGGCAGATCATAAGAAACAAAGCTAGATTAGTTGCTCAGGGTTACTGCCAAGAAGAAGGAATAGACTACGAAGAAACCTTTGCCCCAGTAGCTCGTATTGAGTCTATACGTGTTCTGTGTGCTTTTGCTAGTTATATGAAGTTTCCCTTATATCAAATGGATGTGAAAAGTGCTTTCTTGAACGACATAATCCAAGAGGAAGTATATGTTGCTCAACCTCCTGGCTTTGTTGATTATCAGTTTCCAGATCATGTTTTTAGG